CCGGCCGTGCCTGGGCTGGGTTTGACCTGGTTGACTTCTTATGGAAGCTAATGACTTGACATGTTGACTCAAATTCTGCTTTCTCCGCCGGCGCCTCCTGGGTGCCTAGCGGGCCTTTTGCGTCGAGATGCTGTTGCAAGCCAGTCTTTGGACTGCGCTGTATGTGCAAAAACACGCCTCGCAAGCCAGTCTTTGGACTGCGCTGTATGTGCAAAAACACGCCTCGCGAACCTGCCTGCGCAGGAACTGGTGGGCTTTTTTCTCTGCGCTCTATGCGATCCGACCCCCGCCATGGCGCGGGACGAGTGCCGCTGCAACACATGGACGCTAACTGCCCGCAAAAAAAAACAGGGTCGGCGGCACCCGGGCGTAGCCCGTTCTATAATAGTTTGTTTTATAGTCATTAATTTTCATATTTTAGTTAATTATTTTTATATATAAAAAAAAAAAAATATTATATATATTATTTATAATATTATTTATCTAAATATTTATTTATATATAATGGAATTTTATTATATTATAACATTAAATTATAAACCTAATATATGAAATATAAATTTCATAATTATAATTCGAATGTTTTAATTTTATTAAATTAAATCTAATATTTCTTTATATTATAGGATATATAGCAAAACACAAGTTCAGGTGATATTCCTAATAACATGCGATACTCTTTTAATGCTTGCACCACCCTATAGCCCTCGCAGAATTTCGTGGAACCTTCGTAGAACCTTCGTGACCGCTAACGGAACCCTGATGGAACCTTACCTCAGGGCCGCTCCGGACCACCCCGGAATTTATCTAGGCTGAGACCCTAAAGCTTTCAGATGTTGAGGAACAATATGTATGATGGACATAAATAATAACAATAATATTTTTTTTTGTATTTTTAATAATGAATATATTTCGGGAATTAAGATTTTAAATAATTATTTTAAATATATTATATTTTGGAATGAAATAGAAATATAATTTTACTATTTATATTATATTGTTTTCATTTGAATAAATATATAATATTTTTCTTATTTCCAAATATATAAAAATTAAAAATAATTAATTTTCGAATTTCAAACCAAATTAATCAACAATACACAGAATAAAATAGAATTGGAAAATGAAATCTCGTCTATTCATAACCTAACGCCATTTTAGGAACGAAAATCATATTAACCCTTTCCAAAAATGAAACCCAAATCAAAAAAACAACATCATCATATATTATTAAAGAGAATATATAACTCTTATAATAAACAAATCAACAAGCAAAAAAAATATATATTTCAAAAACCAATATATATTTAATATGTATTTTATTTATATCCCAAATTATATCTAATAATTATATAATATTAATAACCATTATATTTAAAATCCAATTATATCATAAATCAAATATCTATTCCAAACATATATAATTTCCAACAAAAATACTCCTTATAATTCTACTTTAATATCCTTTAAACAAAAACAAAAATAATTATATTTCTATATCAAATAAATACATCAAACATATATAGCTATAAATATGTTTAGGAATCTGTAATATATATCTTTATTTCACAAATATATATCGAAATAAATATTTACAAATAAATAATATCAATAACCACAAAGAAATACAATACAACAAGATGCAAAACACGCCGTCACAACACCAGCTTACTTGCAATTATTCATCACAAACGAAGCTACGGCAAAAAGAGAATCACTAACCCGAATTTAAGAATTAAATCTATAATACAATATATAACAATTATACAAAACAAAATAAAGCAAAAAAGACAAATCGTTATTCCATATTCGAATTAATTTAAAATAAAATATAAAATAATCATAAACCGAAATCTATAACAAAATACAATAAAAACAAATAATTATAATATTTAAATATATATATAATTTCAACAAAAATAAATCCAATCATATCATTAACCCAATTATTCATCCAAAATATATTAAACAATATATTTATAATTAAAAATATACAACAAACCAATTAGGTTTTTTATAAAAATATACAACGAGATCTATAACAAATATCCACCACAACTCTATTGCAAACCCCTCAAAAAAAACACTACCATATTATCCAAATGAATTTCGATTCAAAAATTAAACAAATCCCATCCCCCCCCTCATTAAAAACACAATTTAACATACAATTTCAATCTTTGTTTTTCCAATTTATATTCCAATCAATATTTTTCAATTAAATCTAAATATAATTTACTACAAATATTATATTTTAATAAACATAATATTTTCTCTAAATAATATAAGAAAAATACATTTCCTAATTGTTTCTATTCCAAAACACAATATAATATTCCCCACCTCATATTAACCACTTTAAATACAACCATATTATAACCAATTAGCATTTCTTTTTCCAACATCCAAATACTTAAATATCTCCAATTTCAAATAAAGCTATTCCAAAAAAAACATATTCATAACCTCCCCCCATAAGCCCATCGTCCATAAAAATTAACATAAATTCAAATCGAAACCAACCGCTAACAACAAATAATTCATTTGATTTCTTTTTAATTTCATTTATTTATTTTATATTCTATATAATCAATATACTATATTAATATAATTAATTCAAGAATAAAAATTAAAAAAAACAAAATAATCATTAATATCATATATAAAACCTAAAAAACATTTTTTCAAATCAAATTTCATCAAATACATTAAATAATAATCACGTTTTTTCCAATATACATATCATATATCTATATATTTTTCCATAAATTAATTTCTGCAATTATATTAAAAAGACCAAAACAAATAAACACAATAATTACATATACAAGTCTAATACAAATCAGAATAATTAAACACAATTAAAATATATGTTATTATTAAAATATAATCATAATCAAATATATATTCACAAATATCTTAATAATTTCTTTATACATAAATAATTATATCGATTCTATAATGTTTATCCAATTTTATAAATAATGAATATATATATATATATATATCAACATCAAATATACTATTGTATAAATTCAAACTAATTCGATAATTTCACAAAATTTAAACAAATCATTATTGCCATTTCCAACAACATTTCTGAATTTATCCAATAATCAATTATTTTTATCATTCAATGGAATCTATCTAATCAACTGTAACTTTGCATGACATGTCCTGTGCAAGCGACAGTATCCACTTCGTTATTAGATTGCGTTGAACGGGTCCTCTGAACTTGGTGGCTCGCCTTTTGCGCCATCTAGTCGCTGGTAGCTGGTTGGCTCTGTGTTGCCTCTGCGCAAGCCTGGTGGGTTCGGGCCAGAGACATTTGACAAGATGTCACCTGGTTCTCAGGAAGGGAATCAGCCTTGGGAATGCAACGGAAAGGGATTCCCTTTAAAGAAAGCCATCAGTTGAATTGCTTTCTAGGGGCATTCCCTCATCTGAGCACCAAGGTCAGTGCCGCGTAAGCAGCAGAATTAAAACCGTGATGAGCCAAAGGCCTGTGCAAGCTAAAGAAAACAAGCCCAGCCACGAGCCCGACATGTTGAGGCCAGTGAGAGAGCTGAGCAGAAGAAGGATTAAAATTGAGCGAAGCAGCCAGGCGGGATTCATAATCTTCCGCACTTTCCATCCGGCTTTCAACGCCATAAGTGAGGGCACAGGAATCAGCAGCGCCAAATTCACACTTTGGTGCCACTCTGCTCGCATCACTGGCGAGCTAAAAAAGACGCCTCGCATCAGAGTAGTAAGCAGGAAGAAGCTCTGACTTAGCACGAAGCACGTGTCCTGACCAAATAAATAGTGCCAATGGGTGTTTTTCTCGAGGGACCCTTTTTTGGGTGGGTTCAAAGACAACTCAAAGGACAACCATCATTTTGGGGTGCTTCTATTTTGACACATACCCATGAACAACGGAGTAATCGAGATGCCACAGCCGGGGCGGCCAATGAACATCTCTCACGAAGCCAAGCATCTGGAGTCATTCGACCGGATTTCAGCACCGAGGCAACATAGACCATGCATACCTGGATGCTACATCGGGGGTCTCGAAAACCAAGCAAAACATACTCATTCCCTTCTGGATTTCCCTTTGGGGGAAAAAACAAAAAACAAACAGCATGATGGGCGATTTCACAGCCAGATACCGGCCCGGGCAAGCCGATGAGGCCATTCAGAAAGCCAGAGACAAAGCCCAGGATCAAGAGTCCAGGACAAAAGGCTCTGTCGCTTCGATTTTCGGGCTCCAGGCTTCGGGTTGTCTCAAGAAGAGGCAGCTGGCGCTCGTCACTGGCCTTGCTGGGAAGCTCACCTCAGCCCGCTGGAGCTCCAAAAAGGGGAAAAAGGAACCAGCCTGCTTTGGAGATTGGGATCTCAAAGACAAAGCCAAGCAAAACTGTTGGGGTTCCAGTGGATTCGTGTCCTTAACAAAAAGGGAACAAAACAAGGGGGGTGGAAGCCATCAAAGAGGCCACAAGTCACCTGAAAGCTTGAAGATCGACACGGCCAGGAAGAGCAAGTTGAGGCCCGCCTTCAGCGCTCGCAGCGTCTCCGGTTGCTCTTGCGCCCAAATCAAACCCAGCGCCCCGAGGACAGTTCCAGGTAGGCAGGGCAGGGACAACATCAGCAAACTCCGCCAAAGCTTCATGGCCTCAGGCGGGGTATCCCGATTTTCACCCACACAAATGAGCTGATCGCCCCGCAGCCTGATCTCTCTTCTCCTGAAAAGCGACACTTCACATGGAAAACCAAGAGGTGATGAAGAAATTCCAAGGGACTCTTTCCTCTTCCAACAATCATGGAAGCTGACAGGGGAAGACATCTGCTGGTCCCAAAGGCAGTTGTTGCCATTTTGGGAAATGGACCACTATTTTGGAGAAGCCAAAATACGGGAGGAATGGTTTTGGGACACAAGGAAACAACCCCTTTGGCAACCGTTTTTTCCTATATTGAGACACATGGCTATGAATTTTAATGGGGAACCTGGTGGACACAAATCCCAAATTAGAATTCATACCTGCCTCACTTGCCACCATGAGAAACATCACCGGCGACAAGGAGAGTTCCAGCACCATACCCAGCTCCACCATGCGCAGGACGCTCTCGCAGCCTTTGGCCACCTGAAACCGAAACTGGCATTTCGTTGAAACCAAGGGCGGTCCATTTGACGGAACAAAACACCAGCAAAGACTGGGCTGGATTTCGACTGCCTTTGATCTGGTCGCTTGGGGAAACAATCCCACAGAATGTCGACCCCATATTAACTAGGTCCTCCAGATTTGAGAGGTTCGAATCAGGGTACCCGTTGTTTTTTTTGCGTCTTTGTAGAAGAGCCCCCCCCCAAAACAGGGGAGAGAAGGGCACCTAGCTGGGGGACCTAGCTACCCAAAATGGCTCACACAAGAGCACAGCAGGTACAAAGGGGCCATCCCTGGAGAGTGCTTCTTTTTGATTAGCCAATGCGCTTTTATCAAACAGCAACAACCAAAGGATGGTCAAACCTTGACAGTCCCTGGTTCATGTTGTTCAGTTGCCCTAAAAGCAACCTCAAGGGCCATTTCCGTAGGTATCCAAATCAGGCTTTACTACCTTGGGGTTTTAGTAGGTCTTTGGGGTCTTGGCAGGTATTTCCACATTTCTTTTCATGCTATGAATTTCAATAGGGACCCCAAGAGTGGGCGGACATGGACCTAGCGGTCCCTAATCAAAACTCAGTATCCACATGGTTTGCCTACGCACAAAAGGACAAGCACACTCGCTATATGGCTGTGGGTCAAAACCAATGGCACCATTTTGGGGTAGGTGCACCACCCATTGTAGTCTATTGTAGTGGGGTACGGGCTTTTGACCCATGGCCAACCGCCAAGGGATCCCTCTGGGCCAACGCTAGAAGGACTTTGGGCGCCCTCAGCCCCACCCATTTGACTGTTGGATCCACTGACATGGAAATCAAGGTTTCGAAGGGAAGCAAACATTTAAACTTTAGCTTTCCCACTAAACCACAATCAGCAAAAATGTAAAATGCTTCCCAACAACAACCATGTACAGGCCGTAGTTCAACAACCAAAGGCAGAAGGACCTGAAATGGCCAAGACCGATCTTCGGACGCTCACCTGAAATTGGCCGCACAAGGTATAAATCTGCTCGAAGAGGATGGAGCTGCCAAAGCCGGTGGCTGCCCTGCAGAAGGAGCCGCACGTAGCTGCTGATACAATGACCAGAGCAATGTCCATGGCACTCCCTTCGATGTCGAGCCCCCCCAAACAAAACAGACTGACACTAGCAGGTTATCCCTTGAAAAGTGAGAAATCATAGAATCATAGTGTTTCGATACCTATCCACGATAAACCACACAACTTGTGGATGCTGAAGCCTTGGAGACCATCGCTGCAAAATAAAAAAGTTCTAGTGCGCTAGAAGAGTTGTACCTTCCAGTTTTGAAGCATGTGCTGCATGAGGTGGAAACCAGCTTAAGACCTTAAGACCTTAAGACCAAACGATGGGCATGCTATTTTCACCCGCACAATCACTGGAGGTCTGTGGCTGCAACCTGCAGCTCCTCCATTTCTGAGGGCAGATGTGACAGTCTGTGGGGCTCCACGAGAGCGGCCGTCCGAACACTTTTCTGGAGCAGGCGGAGGTCACAGCAGTTCCTCTCTACTCGCCATCAAGGCCCTTACCTTTGGGTGCGGAGATATTTTTGGGAATGGTTTTCACTTTTTGGAGAATGCTTTTCTTTTCTTTTGGGAATGCTTCTTTAGAATGGTTTTCGCTTCTTTTGGCAAATGTTTTTCTTTTTTTGTCTCAGCCAGTAAAATGTCGTATTTTTACAGCCTCGAAGAACCGGCAGCACGGACGTGGCAATGTGGCAAGGTGGCCAGGTCTGAGAATTCACTTTTTGCTGGCTGGAGAAAAGGGAGAAGAAACCCAAACCGCAAGAAACAGTATGATAAAGAGCACTGCAGAACAGGAAAGTTGACCCGCTGCTGATGCTGTGGCAACCATCAACTGAAACCCATGCCAAGCAACCTCAAGATAGCATCTCAACGACCCCCAATTTGATTCAAGGAACAGCTTTGGCACCCACGGCAAGAATGCAAACGAGCGATGCAACCAACCAAGCAACCAAGCAAACAAACAAACAGATAGACAAGGTGAAAAGCACACAAGCAAACAAACAAGCAAGCAAACAAGCAAGCAAACAAGCAAGCACGCAAACGAATGAACAAACAAACAACCTACACCTACACACAATCACACAAGCAAACGCAAACACAAAAACGCCAACACTGACGTGCACACACACACACAAGTGAGACGCCACTAACTCACGCTACGCAGGAGGACACCAATAAATATGTTGCTTTTTGTCTGAAGCAAATGCGGCATGCTTCCGAGGAGTCCTACCTTTCAAGGACCATACATGTTTCAAAGCAGCAGTGTTGAAGCACATTCCTGCAGGACATTCGTTTACGCTAAACTCCGCACATTTCTCGAGCGCAAAAGCTGCACGTTTCGAAGCTTCGACTAGGGCTTCTCTGGATATCTCCAGCTGTACACTGTACAATTGGACTTTCCCAGGCTGTTCCAAGAAACGAGAAACAACTTGCTTGCTCGAATAGCACAAGACAGCTTCCATTTGCTTAAGCCCCCGGCAAAAACATAAAATATTTCCATTAGTGATAGATTCCCTTTAAAACCAACAAGGGAACATACAACACATATTCTTAAGCAAATGGAAGACAGGCTGAATGAGGGTGCCTGGGTAGTGGAGCTCCTGGGGATTTGAACATCCAGAAATTTAAAAGTCCATTCTCGAATTCATCTGGACCCACTTCGGATTCTGGGTGAACTATAACCTAGGTCCTCCAGTGGAGAGGATAGAATAAGGGTACCAACTTTCTTTCTGTAGTCTATTTTAGTAGGGGAACCCTCCCCAAAAAAAGGGGAGAGAAGGGCACCTAGCTGCAGGCGACAACCAAAACCTAAGCGATCTGTGGTCGATGGCTTCAACTCCTCTTTAGATTCAAGAACGGTCTTCCAATATGGCCATGGGTCAAAATCCAAAGTGCGTACCCTCGGTGAACATCAACCAATCCCACCACTAAAATAAAGCCTAAAATGGGTGGTGACTTCACCTACCCTAAATGGGATACCATTGGTTTTGACCCACGGCCATATTATCTGAACATGAATTCCACCAATCCACACTCAGGGATGTGAAAGAAGCCTTCACGGGGATGGTTGCACTCCAAAACTCAATCGAGGGTGTGATGCACCGCTAGCGAGTGATGGCTTTAGCCACTGGATGGCGAACAATCACTGACCTGAAACTAAGGAATCGTTTGAACAAGGTCGCCATGCCCTCCCATCCGACATGGAACCAACAGGGGACCTGGAAGAGACACTTCCTCTAAAGCGCGGAAAACGGAAGTTTTGAACAACACTCCGAAGTGGACGTCGTGCTAGGCTTGTCTCGGCCAACTCGGCCAATTTGGCGCTTCCGCCCAATGGCACTGCACTGCCTATGGGTCCGCATAGGGTGGCTCCTCATTTTCTGGGTGATCCCTTTGTGTGGGATTCGTTGAAACAGTACCCAACCCAACTCGGCGGCTTCAAAGTTGGAGTTCCCGAGCCTCAAAACCCAACGAGAACCATTGCAACCTGGACGACCAAATTTTTTCGCACGTGCGAAACGGCCCTTCGAAGCCCAACTCATTGCTCTTGGAGGGGTCGGGTCGCAGCTCTGTGGGCGATCAACTTTGAACCAAACCGCTCGGTGGTTTGAAGACCAAGAAGTAAACTGAGGCGGGGTTGGGGCAATATCTTGCTTGGTCTTGTACGGGAAAAGTCAAAGGTTCTTTGGACACCAAGAGGTAACCAGTCAATTTATGGAACTCCTCAAAAGTGATTGCCTATGGAAGGGCTATACATTGGTCGGCCACATTTCATGAATGGGCTCGTCTTGCACCAGCAAAGACTGGGCTGGATTTCGACTGCCTTTGATCTAGTCGCTTGGGGAAACAATCCCACAGAATGTCGACCCCATATTATCTAGGTCCTCCAGTAGAGAGGATAGAATAAGGGTACCAACTTTTTTTCTGTAGTCTATTTTAGTAGGGGAACCCTCCCCAAAAAAGGGGTGAGAAGGGCACCTAGCTGGGGTACCTAGTTAATCAACCGCTTATTAATAGGGGGGTGTCCCTGGCTTTTGTGGGGAATCACACCACTTTTGGAGGGGAACACCCCCCTATTCATAAACCTGGGTTGATTCATAAGGGGTCAACAGTACTGACGGACAAGTTCACAGTTGACCAACTAACCAATTCTCCCCAAACGACTAGCCACAATGGTGAGAACAAGAGGTCCCAACCAAGTAGCAGCCAAGAGGTCCCTTTTGTGAGAGCCATTCCAATGGCGAGAACCACACACCTTCGGAAACCGCCGGAGCGGCTCATGGCCCGCATCTTGGCCTGACTACGGTCAAGACAAGCGACGTGGCCATCGCTTTGCACTCCTACGAAACAAAAAGAAACAATCAAGCAATAAACCAACCAGGCCAACTAACCAACAAACACATCACAGACTAACCTAAAAGAGACACCTACGACTAGGGAGCCTCTTCTATCATTCAATTGCAAGCTAAAAGCGATGGCCTTCACTCATTCCCCAGGCTTCACCTGGGTCAGCCAGGAAAGATCTCCACAAATTGCGTCCTTCCTTCAACCTCCAAACTTTACCTGAGGCACAATCAAAACCCGGTATCAACATGGTCTAGCCAGAGCCATGTAAAGAATTAAGAAGGCGGGCGCAGCCATTTATGGTTGGGATTGTCCCTTACTAACCTTCATCTACGCGGGTTTGAATTGTGGCTCACCTGTTGTTTGCTTCCACATCTGATCACAGCAAACATCTAAAATTGAACCGAGGAGTATCTTTATCAGTTCTTTGCTGCCCCCCACGAACGAACATCACCAAAATTCAGCATGAAGAAAAAAAAGAAGAGAGGGGTCGCCCCAAGCGGGTACTCTCGAATCTAAAGATCGACCCAGGCTGACCCATCGCTTCGCACTCAAAACTGTGCTGCCTTGCGGATTGGCTCAAAATTCGGGACAGGACGGCCATGGGTTTGCTGAACGTGTCCCCTTCAAACGGCAAAACTCGCGGGATGCGAAACTTGTACTTGGAATATGGGTCGGCCCATTTTGAGCCACAGCCGATTGTGCCGCCACAGACTGACCACGTGGCTATGGCCGGCAAACGGAACGCCCGCGACGCCTGCCACTTCGCCTTCCGAGCCGTCCTCTCGGCCGGCAGAAGGGCTCTGTCCAAGCGTCGCGCGCTTCGCAACGCAAGGCAAGAGTTTCCGAAAGCGTCTAGGTCAACTCAGGGTGGGGCAATCTGCTCGCTCCAACGCCAATGTCAATGGGAATCCAAATGCGCCATTTGCCCACCCTGCAACTCGTCCCTAGCCTACATGGAAAGACGCTCAGAAAACGTCCATAGAGTATTCAGGTGCCCCCGCACAGTAAGGGTGAGCTGGCCCAACACAAATTCCACTGCAACCATAATTCCTGGCCCTCCAAGGCGCACTACGGAAAACTTGTGCTCCCCGGATAGGTCCCCCCAGCCTTTTGGGGAGGTCCAAGGCAACCTTCAAAGTTACTGAGCAGGTGCACCTGTCAATGAATATATACACTCTCGGGACATGACCTTCTCAGAGCCCCATGATTGAGTTGAGGCATCTGATGGTCACATCGTCCTACAAAGAGATGCTTGCAATAAAGGCATGCTCTTTTGGACAGGACAGAAACAAGTACTCCAGCAAGAATGTGGCTTTTCCTGTTGGCTTCCGGGTAAGCAGCCTGAACAGGGTACCCTCCAAAAAACTACACGCCCACCAGAGCATGCATCCTTGCATTCAAAGTGCCGATGACACACGGCGCGGGAGAAATCTTCGACTTGCCAAGGTCAAGCGAGCGGTCAGAGCTGAATCAGAAGCTTTGCTACATCCAGGTCGTTCCCGGTCTCGTGGTCATCCTGAGAAACCCAGGCACCTCTAGGTAACCTAGGTCCTCCAGTAGAGAGGTTAGAATACAGGTACCCCTTTTTCTGTAGTCTACTTTTGTAGGGGATTCCTCCCCCCAAAAAATGGCAAAAGGGCAGTACTGGGGGACCTAATAACTTTTGGGGTGGAAGGGCGAAAGCACTAGCACTGACTAGAACCAAGCTGAAGTTTCTATTGTCAACCAACATGGGTCAAAAGGACATGGGTGAGG